ATCACACCGGATCTGGGTCAGTGCCCGCGTCGCCACACACTCGCATCATCGGTACTGTCGTGAACGCTCGTCCACACGGACGCAGTAAAGACGAAAATGTGGAATAAAGTCGTTATTTTTGTTTTCTTTGCGCAAAAAAGTATTCTCGTAGCTTCGTAATGAAGGTCTTACGGGTTTGGAACAACACGAGGGTGAGTAATTAATGACAGAATTTTCATTTTTGGGTGAACTAACCCTTTAAAAAAGAGGCAATTTATCGGAGTACCAGATCATATGTGATTCTCACCTGAATATCTCCAATTTACAGTTAGGATTCTCAAGTCCAGAAGAGAGACGCCTCATACCAGAATCTCGTAGTTTATTGCTAGACAGATCCAGTACTCTCAGGTGTGAGGGGTTTGATCTCAGAGCTGAAGCCAGAGCAGCACAACCCTCATCTGTGACGCCACAATCCTTCAACCTGTAGAGAACAATGACACTCTTCACTCTCTCAGATCAGATCGTTACTAAGCGTGCAACAAAATAATAGCAATCTATACACAGCATGCTGTGTGACATGCTGTTTGCATTTGAGTTTGTTAAACTTCTGAAAAATTGTCACCTCCCACCAGGGCCGCTGCTGGCCAAATGGGCGCCCTAAGCAGATTATATTGTTGTGACCCTCCCTCAGATATTACATAAAGTAAAAGAAAAAAACACCTATAAGGGATCAAAATAGAACTTTAATAAGTACATAAATAAATTGTAATTAAATTGTATTATTTATAAATTACAATTGTAGCTAGACAGTTACCTATGGCTATGATTTTATTAATACAGTTTGTCTGATTGATTTGATTTACTGTGTTCACATTTGATTTACTGTGTTCACCATTCACAAATTTTTTTTAAATAATTTTATATATGTAATATATATCTGTTCATTTTTAGATTTTTATTTATGTATATGGTAATATTAATATAGAACGAAGGTTTTAATTTTTTTATTTTTTTTGAGCAACTGGCATGGTGCCCCCCTGGGAGTTGGTGCCCTACGCAAACTGCATACTCTGCATATAGGGAGCGGCGGTACTGCCTCCCACCTTCCCCTATCACTTAAAGGGGTCCTATTATGCTTTTTCACTTTTTTAATTTTAGTCAGTGTGTAGTGTGTATGTTTGGGCATAAAAAAGATCTAGAAAGTTACAAATCTCAAAGTCTACTCCAAAAGGGAGAGATTTCGTGTGCCAGGATGGGGAGAAAGGTATTTTAATAATGTAAATTATGTGAAAATTAATGCGTTTTTCGAACCACCAAGCATGAGAGAATGTTCTAGTACACCCCCAAAACAAAATCAAGACTTTGTAAAAGAGCATAATAGGACCCCTAAAAAATCAGATCTGCACCAATTACATTTATGACATATTATGGATCTTAAAAGAAAGAGAATTTATCTGAGCACCAGATCATGTGTGATTCTCACCTGAGTATCTCCAATTTACAGTGAGGATTATCGAGTCCAGAGGAGAGACGCCTCATACCAGAATCTCCTAGATTATTTCCAGTCAGAACCAGTTCTCTCAGGTGTGAGGGGTTTGATCTCAGAACTGAAGCCAGAGCATGACAGCCTTCATATGTGAGACCACACCGGCTCAACCTGTAGAGAAAAATGGCACACTCTTCACTCTCAGATCAGAACACACAGATCAGATTAACAAAAACTAGTGATGTAACAAAAGTAGTGATGAAACCGAAGTAGTGACGGATCTTTTTTTCAATTGTTGTTATGATTATGTACATCTGAGTGAATGCACATTTCTTTTTTTCATCAAAAAAAGAAAAAAATGTTGGGTGAGTACTTGGTTTTGTCTATCAGTTGTTGTTTGAATTTTGAGATGTGGGTGTTGCACTCAAAAGTGGAGTTAGATGAATGTGAGCTTGCAGGAGTGGAGTTTAAACAGACTAAATGACTGGAGAAGTCCTGCATACATCACCAAAGAGGAGTGGTGTTTTCACCAAAAGGTCCAGTTATGACATTTTGATTGAACATTACAAGGTAAAAACATTTTAAAAAAATTAAATATGTAATTTCTCAGTATTTTTAATCACAAAGTGGATTGGTTGGCTCAGCATCATTTAATTTTTCATCTGTGATGCAAATTGATTAGCGTAAGGAAAAAGTTTGTAAGTAGCACTGAGCTCTCAAACCTACCATTTACGGTAATAATATGCACCCTTTAGGGGTGGATAAGGTACAAAGATTTATAGTTTGAAAGCAGCCTAAAAAAACATGAATATTATATTTTGTAATACTGATTTTAAGATTATATGTTAACCCTTTCTGTATGAAATCCACACACAGAACTATAGATTTAACAAACCAAAACTTAAATTAAGTTTTTCAAATAAATGAATTTATTTATGCTTGTTTCCCTTTATGTCTTTAAATATTTGTACTCATGCAAATACAAATAAAATGCAGGTGCTACACAGCTTTGAAGAGTTTTACTAACACAAATAAATAGCAGTATGACATCTGCAGCTTGATGAGATATAATTTTCTTATAATATTTAACAGTCTAGTGACTGTTTTTAGTGATACTTACTCAGCTCTTCTGGATTCTTTAATCACAGGCAACAACTTCTGAAGAACGTGATCAGCTTTATTTTTCACTTCAACAAATTCATTCAGCCTAAACTCATCCAGCTTCTCCTCTGATGTCAACAACACAAAAACTACAGCTGACCACTGAGATGAAGAGAGATTGGCTCTCTTTATTCTTCCAGATTTCAGATACTGTTGCATTTCTTCCACTAGTAAATGATCACCCAGTTCATTCAGACAGTGGAACAGATTGATGGATTTCTCTGGAGTGTCAATGTTCCTGATCTTCTTCTTGATGTACTCAACAGTTTCCTTATTGCTGTCAGAGCTGCTTCTTGTCTGTTTCATTAGTCCTTGTAGGAGCATCTGATTAGACTCCACTGACAGACCCAGAAGAAAACGCAGGAAAAGGTCCAGATGTCCATTTGTACTCTGTAGAGCCTCATCCACAGCTCTCTGATGTACGTCAGATAAAGTATGCGTCAAAAACCTTGACAATTCAGAGGACACACCAGAAAAAAAATGTGAGCGGTTGTTTTTGTAGAAGAAGTGCACATATAGAGCTGCTAGATTTTCCTGAACGCTCAGATGAACAAAGCAGAAGACTTTCCCCTGATACAAGCCAAACTCCTCTCTGAAGATCTGAGTGCATAATCCTGAGTACACTGATGCTTCTGTCACATCAATTTCACACTCTCTCAGGTCTTCCTCATAGAAGATCACATTGCCTTTCACAAGCTGCTGAAAAGCCAGTTTCCCCAGTTTGAGGATCACGTCTTCATCTGTCACAGTCTTCTCATAGTCCTTCTCATGTCTGATGTTGGTCTGAAGGATCAGGAAGTGTGTGTACATTTGAGTGAGAGTCTTGGGAATCTCTCCACTCTCTGCTCGACTCAACATCTTCTCCAGAACAGCGGCTGAGATCCAGCAGAACACTGGGATGTGGCACATGATGAAGAGGCTCCTTGATGACTTCAGGTGTGAGATGATTGTATTAGCCAGACTCAGATCACTAATTCTCTTCCTGAAGTATTCCTCCTTCTGTGGCTCATTGAAGCCTCGTACCTCTGTCACTCGATGGACACACTCAGAGGGGACGAGATCAGCTGCTGCTGGTCTGGAGGTGATCCAGATGAGAGCAGAGGGAAGCAGATTCCCCACAATGAGGTTC